ATTTGGTCTCATCACAGTTTTACAGCCACCATAAATTCCTCTCCTACCTGGTTTATTCCAAGAATGGCACATTATCTCATAAATGTGTACACTTACCTAATAAACACTAACCATTTCCTGTGGACATTTACATCTACTTCAACTATAAAAACTATTCATGCAAAACTGGCAAGAAGCAATTGATTCAGGCCCACTATACAGGAAGCTATTTTCCTTTGTTAGGATTGGGTGGATTTATACAGCTCAGAGTCTGCTCCTAGAGGCCAGACAAAAGTTGGAAGAAGAAAAAAGACCATCTTCTATTTTAATTTCCTGAACACATTATCCTGGTTTTACTTACATCTATCTGGCTTTTCCACTGCTGACTTTATTTTCTCCTAGCCCCTTCAGTTTACACATTCTCAAAGCTTCCAACTCCAATTCTTGTTCTTCTCAATGACATCTCTATTCAAAGTTTTAGCTATAGCCTCAATGCAGATGACTCCAAAACCTAGTGACTGAAATCTAATCTCTGCTTGAGTTCTGGTTGCATCTCCAACTCTTCGTGTTATAAGCTAGACCCGGACTTCACCTCTCAAATTTGATTTTATCACTGAGACATCACAGTCTTAATTTCTCCTTTTCATCTCTAGTCAGACACCAGTTTTTAAGCTTGATACTACTAAGTGTCCTTTTCCATTTATCCAATATTATTGCTAGATTAATGGTTCAGGTGTTTGCTGTTATCCTTTCCAAATCTTTTAGTGACTCCATGCTGACCACAGAATGTGATAAAACATTCCCCAGTCCAAATGTACTGGGGACACAACATGTTTCCAGCCTCAGCTCCTACTGATCCTTGTGAGTCCCTTGACCCCAGTCAAGCTATTTAGTGTAATTCTCCACAATGCCTCTGTTAGCCTAGTCTTCTCAAGTCTGACCTTTAACCACCGCATGAATCATTCACTGCTCAAAAACCTCCTGCCAAAATACCTACCAAAGTAAATACTGTGCAGGAGTATAGATTATACTGGAGTCTTATATTTCAGTGACCCAAAGCCAAGTGTGAGGAGACGACCGTTAAATCCTCACTGTGGCTGCTATTTCTTGTGTTTCCACTAGTAGTGAGTCTTAGTCAAAAAAGGTATGTTCAGACCTGATACGTAAAGAACTCAGAAGTTGCCAACCCCTTCCACACAACAAGAAAAACTGACTCAGTGACTTTTCTTGGACTATAAGACAGACAACTGAGGTTGAAGAGCGAAGAACCATTCATCAGAAGAGACAGGCACATCCTGAGAGATACAGCACCTGACATTTGTGTATCTGGGGCAAAAGCTGCTGGGTACTGTAAGTGAAGAACATAACTAGTAATCTCGGTGAATCGCTAAAAGTTGAGTGTGGACTAATGTGAAAGTGAGAAACTCCTAGAGGCCATTGTCATAGGGGGTGGGGTTGAGGAACACTTTCCCTCCAGGAATGCCAACAGGTTCTCACAGGATGGATCTGAAGACCTGAGAAAAAGTCCTCTATGGCCCTGGCAGGAGGAGAAGAACTGCCATTGTGAAACCCTCCCCCATCCTTCTCCCTAACAAAGGCCTACTCTTCAGTAAGATGGACATCACCCCAGAGGACAATACTGAAAACTTACCCCAGCCAGCAGAAGGGAACTCCTCCACTCCAGCTCACTCCAGTCTTCCTCTCACCTAAAGGGGTAAAAATACCATAGTCAATAGGAACAAGAGGACATCAAGGAAATAGATTGTGAACGCTGCAAGCAGAAAAGAAGGCAGAAGCAGCGGGAAGGAAGCTGGCCCCTGGAGCAGGGGCCAAAACACTTGCGAAGGCCACACTCCTAAGACAAGCCTCCTGGAAGACCGAGACTTAGACTGCCCTTCCTCTCCCACACGCTGCACCACACCATTGCGTTGCCGGTACAATAACAGCGGGTTACAGCTGAAAAGGCCACACAACACAGATTCCTACTGAGGAGCGATACAAAAGGAAGTCCCAAAGTCAAACACAAGGACAGGAGGAATTTGAAGTCTCTGGTACCTGTAGCTACAAGAAACATTAAACACAGCCCAACTCCCAGTAAGATTAATATAAATCTTCACACTAAACACCTATTTGTCTTGGTACCTATCACCCAATAACATACCTCGCTTTCGAAAACAACAAAAAAATATATAAGGCATACCATAAAGCAAAGAAAATCAGAGTCTGACGAGACAAAGCAATCACCAGACCCAGATTCATATATGACACAGTGTCATGCTGGAGCATTGAAGCCTGCTGGCTGCGCCAAGTGTCATGCTGGGGCTCAGGCCCCAGCAGATGAATGCAGGATTCAGTGAGGCCGAAAAGGAACAACAATGGAGCCACAGATAGGGGGTTCATACCACTACATTATGTTCTCGATGACGGCTGGTAGAGACACAAGAAGCAAACATCCGTCAGTACCCCAACAAGGGGTCCTCCTGCACCAGTCTCCCTGGCAGCCGGGTGAGACACAGGAAGTAGGATCCACAGGATCTGCACCATCCACGACACCTGCACTTGCTAACAAAGTTATATACAAAATAGTAGTGGCTAATGGCCAGCTGGTTACAGCTGATGGCCAATTAATTACATGAGTGCTTGCATATGCGGGTTACATAACTGAGCCAGCACCTTTCCACGTGAGGCCGAAAGCCTGGAAACTGCTCTCCTAGGGCCTTGCCCAACACACAGATGCTAATATTATTAGACAGGCAATTTACATAGCTATGATGAATATGTAAAGGGATGTATGGAAAAAATACACAACATGAAAGACAGATAATATGAGCAGAAAGATGGAAGCTATAAGAAAGATTCAGAAGAAAATGCTATAAATCAGACACAGCAACAGAATGCCTTTGATGAGTACATCAGTAGAGGAAAGAATGAGTAAACTTAAATATTAGCTAATTTTCTTGTTTTTTCTCTTTATATCTGAGTTACATATGTTACATTTTATTACTTTTTTCCAGCTCTATTGAGATACACATATTTGACACATAACATTGTGTAAATTTAAGGTGTATAATATGATTTGAAATACAGCCCATTATATACATTATAAAACAATTTCCACAAGATTAGTTAATACAGCAGTTCTCAACCTGTGGGCCGCGACCCCTTTGGGGGTCGAATGACCCTTTCACTGGGGTCGCCGGGTACTTGCATGTGGGCGTATCTGCATGTGGGCCTGGAGACGGATAGAGGAGCCGTGTCTTGGTTCCTAAGACCATCGAAAATACCGTATTTGCCGGCGTATAAGACGACTCGGCGTATAAGACGACCCCCTAACATTTCCACT